GCTGGTTGCCATGGAGACCGCGCGCTCCCGAGCGCGCGAGGCGGCCGGGCCCCGCCCCGGAAGTCGCTCCCGTGGCCCCGCCCCGCGCCTCGCGGCCCCGCCTCCCGAGACTCTTTGCCGGGCAGCCAATCAACGAGTGACCAGTTGTGTTTTTCTTCTTGCCTCCTTGGGATGCCAACGCAGTTCTCCGGTGCCTCTTAAATGTGTCCTTTTAAATACAGTTGGCCTCCTGTTGGAAGTTGAACATGAATTGGATGTAGTATATATTCGTTGTAGCATCTTTTCTAAGACAGACTTTAAAATACTATGGTGTCCCATACAGAGAGAACACTGTAATCCCAGGAGCCTTTTTCTATCCTATGTGCTAATATTAATTGGCAACATCAGGATGGATGGTGAAGAGATTGAGATTGTTAACAGCTTTAGTTTGCTTGGCTCCACTGTCAACACTCTTGGCACCAGCAGCCAGGAAATAAAAAAACTTATTGCGATGAGAAAGTCTGCTTTTAGGGACCTCTCCAGGGTACTGAAGAGCAATGGTGTCACTCTGGAGACTAAGGTGCGCCTGATACAGGCCGTGGTCTTTGCAATCACTTATTATGCATCGGAGAATTGGACAATGACTAGGGAGGATAGAAGGAGAATTGATGCCTTTGAGCTGTGGTGCTGGAGAAGAGTATTGAATATTCATGGACCGCCAAGGAAACAAACAGATTCAGCCTAGAGAGGGTTAAACCAGGCTGCTCCTTGGAGGCAAGGATTCTGAGGCTCCATCTAATATACTTTGGACATGTTGTAAGGAGGGACAGGTCCTTGGAGAGGGACATCATGCTTGGGAGGGTGGAGGTACAGCGCAGGAGGGGAAGACCCTCTATGAGGTGGATTGATTAAGTGACTGGGGTAATCGGATGGGTGTGTCAGAGGCAGTGCGATTGGCACAGGATAGAGCATGGTTTAGGGCTGTTGTACATAGGGTCGCTGTGAGTCGCAAGTCACTCCACAGCACATAACAACAACATGTGCTAATACACGTGTGTGCTTAATTCAGCGGGCTCTAGTGGCTCAGTGGTAAGTAATTGCAGTGCCAACACAAAGGTGGTGGTAGTTGTTGTTTTTAAGTGTCGTCGAGTCGCTTGTGACTCGTAGCTACCCTATCTATGTACAACAGCCCTATACCTTGCCCTATCTGTGCCAACCTCATTGTCTCTGACACACGTACCGCCATTACCCCAGTGACTGAGTCAATCCATCTCATTGAAGATCTTCCTCTCCTCTACTGTCCCTTCACCCTTCCAAGAATGATGTCCCTCTACATGTCCAACATATGTCAGACAGATCCTAAGAATCCTTGCCTCCGAGGTGCAGCCTGGTTTCACCCTCTCCATGAAAAACCCGTTTGTTCTCCTGGCAGTCCATGGTATATTCAATACATGTCTCCCCAGCACCACTGCTCAAAGGCATCTATTCTCTTTCTATCATCCCTAGTCATTGTCCAGCTTTCTGATGTATAGCAAGTGATTGTGAAGATTGTGGCCTGGATCAGTCACACCTTAGTCTCCAGAGTGACAACATTGCTCTTCAATACTCTCTAGAGGTCTCTGACAGCAGACTTTCCCAATACAATTATTCTTTTGATTTCCTGGCTGCTGGTACCAAGAGTGTTGATTTCGGAGCCAAGCAAATTAAAGCTGTTTACATTCTCAATCTCTTTACCATCTCTTACGATGCAGCCAATCGACCCAGTGGTGAGAATCTTTGTTTTCTTGATGTTGAGCTACAATCCATCCTGAAGGCTGCAGTCCTTAAACTTCTGCAGCAAGCACTTCAGGTCCTCCTCAGTTTCAGCTAGCAGGGTTGTGTCATCTGCATAATGCAGGTTGTTGATGAATCTTCCTCCAATTCTGATGCCACATTCCTCCTCATAGATCCCAGCCTCGCGGATGATCTGTTCTGCGCAATCTATGTGGGGAAAATAGAGTGTGAGTGAAAAAGATGAAGACACACACCCCCATGAGGTGGAGTGACACAGTGACTGCAATGTGGCCTCAAGCAGAGCGATTATAGTGAAGATGGTCCAGGACCAGGTGTGCGGTGTTCTCTTGCACGAAGGGTTGCTATGAATCAGAGCTGAGTCAATGGCACCCAACAAGAACAGCAGTCTTTACAAAAGTACTGTGGCATCCTTCTGCCACAGAGCTGTTGAGGGGTTCAAACCACTGACCTTGGTCTCACTTCATAAAACAGCCCACTGTCATCATATTGATTCTGACTCAGAAACCGCTTAGGACCCAAGTAGCACTGCGCCAACACAGACTGTAATTTTTACAGAAGTAAGCTCCTATCTTTCTTTACAGAGCAGCTGGTGGGTTGGAACTGGCAATCTTTTTAGGCTCGTAGCCCAGCTCTTAACCACTGTACCAGCAGGGCTCCTTGCAACCTCAATAGCACATTTTCCCATTAAAGCATGGTTTTCAACTGTTTGCCAGTGCTCCATGGAATGCATGTATCACAATTTATTTAACAATGCCCCTTTTGATAGATTTTAAACCTATTTTCTAAACTGCACTTGCACATAAATACCAGCTCCTCTCTTTGCCGTATTTCCCAGTGTGAATATCAAAAAGTAAAAGCTGATATATATGCAACATTTGGCTCCTGACCTGGGTGTGCCCTTCCTCTTGTCTTGCCCTAAGAAACCTCTTAGTGACCCAGCCCAGGCTGGGGAATGACCAGAGAGAGAAGACACAGAACCTATTGGTGTTCAATGGACACAGTCCACAAGAGACCGTGGATTGTGGCAGCTGCCTGCCCTTCTCTGACGGGCCTGGGACATAGCCAGCTACCCTTGTGCCTTTACAGATTTCTCTTTTGTAAAATAGAAATTTTTATTCCCCCCTTACACAATCAAAACCGGTTTAAAATATTGTTTCCATTTTTCAGAGCCCAGAACAAGTCCACCTCCTGACCACACTAGTTGGTCGTGTGAGGGAGGCAGTCAAGGCACTGCATCCTGTATGGATGCTTTGAAATCCCCAGTGGCCTCTCCAAGTCCAGCTGCCTTCAAAATTGAGTCTACCCCTGTCTGCTAACGGGTGCAATTTCTGTGAATGACCCAGAACTTCTAGGGCATCAGGCAAAGGAGGAAAGTAAGGAGATGTTTCCTTAAACTCCCTCCAGGAGATCTTACAAGTCAAATACAAGTCAGAACTGCATTAACTTTGTGGTCATTGCTAAATGGCATCAAATTAACTGCAACTAGTTATGACTCTCTACAACAGAAAAAATTTATTATAATAAAATAATAATAATTATTATAAATAAATAAAATTATAATAAAATAAAAACCTTTATTTTATTATATGTCCCAGTTGTTGAGATTTTATATCAACATCAAGAAGACGACAATCTTTACCACTGGAGAAAAGAATGAAGTTGTCAACTCATTCTTCTTGCTTGGATCCACAATCAACACCCCTGGTACCAACATTCAAGAAATCAGAAAACATTTAGCATTGGGAAAATATGCTGTCAAGAAACTCTCCAAAGTGCTGAAGATCAATGATGTCAGTTTAAAGACTAAAGTGCATCTGATTTAAGCCACGGTCTTTCGAATTAGTTGCTATGCATCTGAAGGCTGGACAATGAATAACTGTGACAGAAGAATTGTTGTCTTTGAGATGTGGTGTTAGAGAAGAGTACTGAATATCCCCTGGCCTGCCAAAATAACAAAAAAATATATATTGAAGAAAATGCAACCAGGGTGCTCCTTGGATGCAGAGATGGTGAAGCTTCGTCTCACATCCTTTGGGAATATTTAGGAAGCGCTGGTCCTTAGAAAAGGATCTCATGCTTGGAAAGGTGGAGAGTCAGCGAAAGAAAGGAAGACCCTCAACAATATGGATTAACACAGTGACAATAGTGACAATGAGCTCGAGTAGGTTAGAGATGACGAGATGGCACAAGATAGGGCAGCATTCAGATCCTTGGTTCATCGTTATGGGCTGTACTCAACTTGATAGCGCATAAAAATGTCAGTGATGTAAAACAGAAGGAACCCTACTCAATCCTGCACCAGCTCACAATCTCTGTTGTGTTTAAGGCCATTGTAGTTACTCCATCAGTCCATTTTATTAAGGGTCTTCCTCGCCTTCATGGACCTCCTACTGTTCCAAGCACCATGTCTTTCTCCAGGGATCAACGCCTCCTAATAACATGTCCAAATTATGTGAGGCAGAGTC